TTTACATTAAGAGTGCAATCTGGAGCGTCAACAGCCATCACATACCCAAAAGGCACAGAATGGTTTAACTAACACCCAGGAGGTTAAGAATATGCACTCACATTCTTTCATTCAAGGGTCATTCTTGTATTAATTTGGGGCAATCTAGGTAGCAACTATTCGAAGATCACATAACTTGTGAAGTGTTCCGACTTCTTAACAGCCTCAGAAATAGATGCGTCTAATGTTTATAATATTCTTTAAATAAAACCAGAGTAACTAGTTCTTGCACGGCAGACCCTCCAAAACTGCATTTTTAAAAAGCATTAAAATTTTCAATTAACAAATTCACTTCAAGCTATAATTCTTAAATTTGTTGTAGCAAAACAGATCTCTGTCATACCAAGAGGTACTAGCTTCAGAATTCTGTTTAAGGAATTTACTAAGCACTCCTCCACATCACTATCTATACAGCTATACTACAATTTTCCAGCATGTTTCTACAAAGTCCATACTTTTTCTCCATTAAAAAAACCACTCTCTATATACTCTTCCAAAGTGGTAACAAGAAACTGAGAACTGAAGTACTTTTTTGGAAAATTGTATCTGAATATAGTGCAATGAATAACTTCCTGTTTTACACAAGACTACTTAAAAATGGTCATACATGTTACAGATGCAAGGCAGTATTCCATAAGCTGCTGCTGTGTGCTTCCATTCCTAGGCATACCTGTTCTCAAAGACTCTCTCAAGCTAAAGGAGAACTATTTAGCTATTAAACCAGCATGCTCCCATCCCTTCCAATTTCACAGATTTAAGTTAACCGGAATTGCCATTATAATGTAAGACAGCTTTCATTAAATGTCAGAACATTTCACAAGGATAATATTGCTCTCTGTGCATGAGTGCCCATTCCTCAACATTGCTTCCATGGGTCCAACCCAGTAGCGTGTCTGATCCCTAAAAAAACCCTCATATATTGGCAACAAACTAACTCAAAAGCTGAAAATCCCAACCAGTCATTTCCTGTTTTAGAACAGTAAAGTCATCCAAAACCTATTTTTCCTTTTAATTGTACACAAATTAGAAACCCACATAAGTAAATTTCATCATGTTTTTTGACTGGCAAAATGTCTGGTTTTTGCCAAAAGCTTTTTTATTCTTCAGAGAAAAAACAGATTTAGTGTCACTAAATACTATTCTAAACTAAGGAGTCACAAAATTAGCTTAAAATATATATAGCTAGTACTAGCGCTCATGATACAGATAAAAATACAGTACGAAAATGAAATATGGAATACACTAAACCGTGTAGGATATTTTTAATTATGAGGACCAGATATACAGTTATCCTTAGAATAGACTAGACAACTTCAGTTTGAAGGGACCTACAACGATCATCTAGTCCAACTGCCTGACCAATTCAGGGCTGACCAAAAGTTAAAGCGTGTTGTTAAGGGCATTGTCCAAATGCCTCTTAAAGACTGACAGGCTCAGGGCATTGACCACCTCTCTAGGAAGCCTGTCCCAGTGTTTGACTACCCCGTCAGTAAAGAAATGCTTCCTAATGTCCAGTCTAAACCTCCCCGACTACTTCAAAATTAATAAAACTGCTATCCACTAACTTGTTCTTTGATTTGAGCAACAGTAAACAACAAGGTAGAAAACAATTTACATAAATTTATGCGTTGAAAAATACTTCATCCCTGGTATAGCAGACTATTTCAATCCATTTTTTTTCCCCTCCTAGAGGACAGTATAATGAAACATGAAAGATGCAACAGAAATGGAAGTACAATGCTAAATAAACTCCACAGTACAAGCACATCTTCCTTTACATGTTCCCAATAGGTGGCAACAGAATACCAAAAATACAAAGCAGTTTATAATTCTTTTTTCATCCACAAAGTAATGGAAGCCCTGTTACAACTTCTATCAATGAACTTGCACCAGCAGTTTTATTCAAATGAACAGTAGCATCTCAGCAACAGAAATTCTCAGGACAGTTAGTGTCAAAAGCCAGAGAATTCACAGAACCGAAACAAAGCATTTATTAAAAAGCTAGCTGTTATGAAACAAACTACCTAATGGCTTATACTCATAGCTTACCCGAGGGACTAAACTATTAGAAGCAGGAATTTACAGTAGCAAAATGTTTCTGCACATTAAAGAAGAAATGTTAAGGAAGAAAGAAAAGTTTAGACTAATTTTTTTTGTTGTTGACATCCATGCCTTGGTCTTTAGCAGTATTTATTTGCAAGACTGAATAAAGGGGTGAGCATTTTTAAACAAAGTTTTCAGCTGACAAACCCCAACTTTATCAGTAGTAGCAGGTCCATACTAACTCCCTGGTTCTTTGTAAGAAATGACAGCAAATCAGAGTTGTTCTTTCCTTGACAGTTATACGACTGCTTTGTTTCTGTGGCACAGAGCTATACAAATCAAGTCTAAATAATGACTACTTACTTGCTTTCAAAACCAGCTAAGTCACCATCCAAAGAAATTCTCTCTGTCGTAATTTCCACCTTTCTCACACTGCCAAAGAAGTCTGTTATGAGAACATTTTGCGGGTCTCGCTGAAAGAGATCAGTTCGGTGCCCAGGAGTGGAAACACACAAACTTTTTGGACAGACCTGAAACTGGAAACCAAGATGGACAATCATATCCTGTCCCTCATTCATCAACAGTCTCTACATATACCTTCCAAAATGAAATGGCTATAAAAAGAAAGATAAATGCCACACACAACTTGCATTAATTTCAGTACAAGCTCCACAGCTGAAAAAAAATGATTGAACAAAAACATTAAAAGGCATAAACACCTTGATCATGTATTTCAGAAAACCTTTATCCTCACCGTTATGCCATTTGAGTTTAGAAATACTTCTGTGAAAACCAACCATCAATTACATCTAATTGATTAAATGCACAAGTGTATTTCTGAATATTGACGCAGCAATGCTGCTACAGCCTTCCAGAAAGCACAAGTGGGTATAAATTCTTCATATTTACCAAAGGGAGGCAGTCAAGATTAAATAAGATTAAATAATTAAAGCCTTGATAAGTAGCTAGTAGTAAAGGCTTCATAAAGAAGCAAGAATTTACATTTTGATTGAAAAGGAAAAAATCTCTTAGTCTTATTTCTAGTTTATAGCCTGCAAATTAATGCAGAATTAGGATCTTCAAATATCAAAGCTATTTTATGTACATTAAGTTCACAGAAGCATCCTGTAAAACCTACAAATTAGCTATATACCTTATTATTTATTTTACCTATGCATTTTTTCTACATATCAGACCCACTATATCCAGCACACATTGCAACACCTGGAAGACAAGAACAGCACTAACAAACTGTTTTCAATGGACTCAATTCTGTATAAAGGTACATTTGCAGAAAATAAATAGATGCAACAGCAGCAGATTTGTTGTAGCATTTAGAACATCTGACAAGACAGCATGCCTATTAAATAACAAGATTGTTATGTACTCAGCAGATATTCAAGGCAAAACCAATGCGTTTTGCACACAACGCCTTTTTCCACACATCCTACCACACTTGCCACAAAAGTCTCTAATATTTCCCATCTGGACAGATTCCTTATTTCAAGGGATCTTGTAATGCCTATAATGTAATATAATAAATAATAATTGGCTTGTATTTTTATTAATAATGCTACAGAGCTTAAAGTGCCATGAAATGCAGCCCAAGGCCTCACTCTCTCTAGCCTCCTTGATGATCTTGGGATGCTGAGCTCATGCCTCAGTCATTAGAAGGCACTTCACAACCAAACACACAACCCTACTAGACACAGGAGCTAGACACACATCCCTGCTAGGCAGAGGCGCTAGCTCTACAGTGCTCTGCAGTTTCATGAGCAAATGTTGCTGTCCGTTCAACTGTCTGATGGGCAACCCGCAGACCACCAGCTAACAGCGTAGGTTATCTGAGTCCTTGTATGTTCCAGCAACAAAGAATATTTAACAGAACAGATTAATGTACAGGACTATGAAGGACGCCCTCGACATGGGTGCTCATCTTCCTTAATTGTAAGTTCTCCAAGTGATTTTCACAAACAGGTTCATCAGTCACTGGACCTAGAGCTCATATACCCAATTACATCTTGGGTCAGTTCTTAGAAGGTTGCACTCTCAGGACAAAATCACAGGTCCTAACTAGCTCAATGCAGATGCAGCCTCAATTATCCCAGATCATGACTGACAAAACCTGTGAGTATCAGTCCATACTTCCTAGCAGAAATTTTGTGCTCAGTCTGACATAAAATGCACAGGCTTGTGTGGCTCCTTCTCTTACGACGGAGGCCTACATTTAAAAAGTTTCCCAGAGGGGAAACAATGTACCTGGCTTTCCTTCATGGAGGACAGAGTCTATCTCCCCATTCCTCCCTTCTGCTCGATTACAGTTTCTCTTTCATACCTTGTCTTTTTTGTCTAAGCCTGTAAGTATATGGCATTAGGCTGCTGGTCCAGGGAGACTTCAGCTCACTTTCACTTTTACCTTAACTGAAGCATACAAGCACACATATCCACTGAGCTCTTTTTTAACAATTCCCAACTCTCTTGTTGGCAGAGTATCACACAGCTGCTAAGGAAAAGACAGGGGCAGATCAAATCTTTCTGTTATCCTCCCTGTGAAGTGAAAATGAACTGGACTCATCAGCATCACACTTCCCATACAAAGCCACTTGTCAATGCACACAAACCCTCTTAAGTTTCAGTTTCACCAGAATGCAATCAATTTTCTTCAACTCTGCTCCAACTAGGGGCACAAACATGAAAACTAAGTCTCTGAAGTAAGCTATAAAAGCTAAGTATTTTGTTTTAATCCTGCTATTTGATGCATAAATCTATGCTGCGGTTATGCCATTAAGTCTCTCTTCCAAGCTCTCAAGAGAGTGTAAACGTCCCAGAACAACTGCTTCAGCACTGAAAGTGAGGAAATTGATACTGCACGCAACTATTTCTAACCCGTCCCACAACAATTTAGTACCATAAGATATTGAGATGAATCTTGAACAAAAACGTGCAATGGCACTGGGAAGAAGACTTCATTGTTAAAAATCTACCTATCCAGTACCATGTGAGAAAAGAAAGACTGCAAAGCAATTACACCACAGCAGACTAACGCTAATAACTGAGGTCTTCTCACAAAAAAAAGAAAAGGCAAACACTGGCTAAATGAAACACATTTGTTCATGAATCAATTTTTCCTTTTTTTTTAAAAAAGATACTATTCAAATAAAGCTAAACAATTCCTCAAAATGGGAACTTTGTTACCTTGACTTTTCTTAACAACATTTTAATCTATTTTATGACAAATGATATCTCATTTAGAAATTTATTTGAATCTTACTTTAAAAGTTCAAATGTGTGACATTTCAATTTAGTCTTCACTTTTTTGGAATTGTGATCAAACCAGAAGTCAGTCATTTGCACAGCTTTATACTACCCCTTAGCAACACAGATGGAGCAGGTGGGGAGTAGGTGGAGTGGATTATGAAAAAAGATGTCTCATTCTTTGCAGGCACGCAACAGCCAAATCCTAGGTGGATGTGAAGAGAAGCTGTTTTAAGAGTAGTTGGAGAAAAGTAAAGAAGTGATGCAATAGAAGCGGTGTAACAAATACACAGTACTTCTAAAAGAGCAGACATTTGACGTATCAGAAGATCAAACAACTAAACATTAGCTAATAGTTTTAAAGCTAGTTAGTGAGCCACTTAGTATGTTATCCTGAGTTTGGAAAGCATTAATTTTAAAAAAATCAAACTTGGATAAGCAGTAGGTCTTTGTTCTTAAACCAGCACAACACCAACAGTGCATTCCAGTGCTGAAGTATCCCCTGAAACTGTTGGCAAATAAATGGGCTTATATCCTTACCATGGACTAACCATATGTCATTTTGGAACTCTCAGATGAAGGCCTGAAAAGCACCGACTTGAAATCAAGAGGTCATGTTTGCATATTATGACTCAGTACCTGATCGCAACAAATCATGATATATTTGGGTCTATTCTCTTCCCTTCCCAGAGCAACAATAAGCAGACTGATGTATGATAAGATGACTTACATGATGTAAGGAATCTACTGGTATGGGATAACTTCCCACAGCTCTTCCTGAGTATTTGGCATATAAGGAAAAACAAAAACGCACGGGAGAATGTTTAGGTATCTTCTCCAAAGAGCTCAAAAGGTAAACTCCTTGGCCAGCTAACAAGTTTTCTATACTTTTCACAACAACTGGATTAGTACTTAGCTGGCTAGACCCGTTATACCACTTCCCAGATGGTGTCTTGTACAGTAGAAACCACTGCTCATTTTTTATGACTTTCTTCTTTTAACATCAGTTCATTTTCTGGTTTACAGAGCAGAGTTCTAAAGTGCTGTTTGAATGAACTGGCTAGAAGATACTTTAAAATACATCTTGTTGAAGAGGAATATGCAAGTTCTTTATTGATGAAGTTATCTGTATCCCACAATCAGAAGGTATTAAATTACAGGACAGAATTTCATTCCCATGGTAGTAAAAGAAACTTGAATCTTAGTCAGTGAATCAATTCTGTATCAACATAAAATCTGTCAAGTGTGGGCTGTTTAGAGTGAATTCTACTACACATCTAGCAGCCAGGCTAACACCATCTTCTATAGACAGAGGGTGGCATAAAACTTTCGAGCAGCTGTTGCTTTTACAGAAATGAATCAAAGACAATGTGTTCTGTAAGTGGTGGCTCTTAGATCACTGACACAGCATGTCAGGATTTACAGCTACAAGGAGCCAAAGCATGATGTATTGCTATACTGAAACTAGTATTGGAACAGGTATAAAGGGTTAACAGAGTAAATAAAATATGGTTACTTTTTATGCCATCTCACCAGTGTATACATCTAACTGTTACAAAGGCATTTTCATAAATTTTACCATAGGTTATCTGGTTGGTTTTTTTTTTTTTTTCCCCCCTTCTGCCTCATATCTGAAAGCTACCATTAATATTTACCTAAGATATAATTAACTAACTCCAAACACTGGTGGATTTGGACATATCTTGCTCTGGAATCTAAGCAGATATACAGAGAAATTAGTTTCTGCAGACATTTGTGAGTGTACAGTTTGGATTTTACATGTTTAATCACCTTTGCAAAACAATATCAATGGCTGCCTTTCCACACCTGCAAGATGTCTGCTTTCCATTAAGCTGATTTTCAGAAACTTCCTACTATCGTTTTTCACATGCAAATACTTCATTCCATTGAAATGAATATTTAATGAATATTTCATTCATTTTTCAATGAATAATAATAAAATCTGGCTAATTTTAGTTAATATTTTCTGTAGCCAGCAAACCACTTTCACACTGAGGACAATTCTTAAAGTGTTACACTACAACTACATTTAATAATGGCAAAAAGACACTCCCCCCAAAGCTGCTTCCAAGAGAAACAGGAGGAGAACAAAAAGCATTTGGAGAACCCTACGGACAAAATAAATTAGTTTTGAAACCATTAAAGTCATTAGCATATTCATGAATGTTAAGTATTCTACTTACTAGGTCATTCATATTTGTCTGACTGGCTGGATGAATTTCTTCCAAGAACTCTAGTACATAGAATGTGTATCTGTCCATAAGATGAACGCCAATCCCAAGATCAGGCTGATGCTTAAAAACAACACACAGCAATTATTGGGCATTCACAGGAAAGAACTCAGTATTTAGGAGAGGGAACAGAATGTAACAGCATGTTACAAAAGTTAAGCATAATTTTTTGTTCTTAGGCAAATTATGCAAAGAAAATGATTAGCCATGAAGAAACATATTGTTGACAAGCTGAATAATACAGTTCATCTTCATTCTCCTAGACTATATCCTGGTAATCCCCATGTTTGCCAAAAAGCAGGGAACCCCTTCTTTTTAATGGTCCAGCACAGATTTGTGGGCTGCCCTGAGCTTCTTGGGACTTGGAAAGGCTGGGAGAGACAGCTTATCTTACAGCACTGTGCAGGTTCAGGTAATCCTGACCTGCTGGTTTTGGTCTGGCAAGGATCTCTCTCCTATCACTCCTTCTGTAATTCAGCTGGGATACAATTACAGCAAGTGAAAGGTAGTGGGTATTTTTTTGTATATCAAGTGTAAGAAGTCCTAGATTGAATATTCCCCACGCGTATCTCAGCAGTCTTCCCATAAAATTTCTTCCTATCCTAGGCAATGCATAAATTGGCTGGAAAGCACAGAAATCCATCGTTAGCCTGGTTCTTTGGGACAGTGCACAAAAACAAGCAGGAAAAGTACACTTACAAGTTTTGTCAAAACCACACTTTGTAACCAAGTACCTTACACATTCAGCAATCAGAAGGGAAATTTTTAGTTAAAAGTCAATAGGACCTGTGCTTTTAACTCAGGCATTCTGAAAATTGTCTTTAGGATCACGAAAATCTACTTACTGATAAAGAATCTTCTCCAACTTGGCTGCTAGCCAAGGCCATTATATTAGGTGAATAAAATCGTTCATACATGGATGCTCCTTGACAAGTATCAATAATAAACAACAATTCATTGTACCTGAAAGAAAGAAAACAGCCTCCTTACCCAACTCTCTTTAAAATGAAACAACAAATACATAATTTGCCTTTGAGTTACTAGGACAGCTGCTAGGAACCTAAGGAACAGAAGAGTTCACATTGATTGACTGTAATATGCAAGTTTGGTCAAAGCAATATATTTGAACAGCTGTACCTGCAGGAAGCTGAAAACAAAAATTAGAACTCTTCTTTCTGAATGCAAACTTTCATGAAATTTTATGGACAACAGATAATATCACTGATGAAGGTAAGCAAGGCCTACCGGTAAGACTTCAGGCATATTCATGAAATACAGTTACTTAACCTCAAAATAATGCTTTTTTTTCTTACCTTCTTTTCTGCCACATCTGTTCAAAGGCATCAGCGAGTTCTACATTTGTGATTTCTTCAGAATCTTGAAATTTTAGGAAACCATTTCCACCATGACCTGACAGAAAAAATATAAGTTAGGCAAGTATGTAGATTAAAAGAAGATATTCAGCCTGGTTGACCATTTTTCTAAAAAAAGGCAAACACAATTCTCTTTCTCCAAACAGACTCCAGCAAAAGAAAATATTAGTACAGTAAGAACAGTACACATACATCATTTAAACTGGAAGCGATATTTGCTAAGTAGAGCCTTACAGTTTTTTTCTTAATTAGTATGACATGATAAAAAAAAGAAAAAAAAAAAAAATCTTGTTGTTGATCCTTTTGTTTGCTTGGACTCCTGATGGGATTTCATGCTTTCAGGTAGTCCCATCCAACTGAACAACAAACATCAATGAATTGTATACAGAAACCTGTAATTACCTGTCATATATATTAGAATATTGCTTCTGTCATCAGAAAGGAGACGTTTAGATCGTGGTGTACTTGGCGGGATTCTTCCTGTTAATACACGCAAGAAATTTTCAACAGTAACCTATGAATAGAAGCATAAAGTAATTTTCTAAAGAGAAAAATATTGATTTAACAGCTCTAGGCTGGGTTACATAAATTAAATAATGGAACACTAAAATACGCGGTGTGCCTCACCAGACGTAATATTGCATGGTATAAACTGTAGAAACAGACATTTTCTGTTTAAGGTTTTACTGCAGGTTCACAGGCATATGGTACCTTTTACTTTATTCCACTAATATCAGCCTGTTGTTTTATTATATCCAGTAAGTCTACTACCATTATAATTTCTAAATACATTTTCACTGATCTGAAAACCTGTCAGCGTATAGCTTTATTCTGCCAAAGCTGCTCATGTACTCACAAAATGGTCCAACATTAGTGTGTGTTACCATGGGAAAATAAAAGTTTAAATTCCCTCTGCAACTCAGTAAAGGAGAAACAAGATCAATTTCAGTTACATAAGTCTGAGTGATCAGGTAAGACCCATCTGGATGGTGATTGTAAAACACCCCATAAAACACCACTTCCTCTTCATGCAGATGTACACAGCTCAAACACTAGCAACAAATCCATACTCAGGAAAAAACACGATAAAAAGAACATATCTCTATTTCAGTGTTGTATCTTCACTTCTTTATACAAAGCTTCAGAGAAATGAAACATCTATCATATACTTCAATATGCTCCTATAAACCTTTAGTAATGATTATAGAGCACTATTAAACCATCCAATTGATGTCCAATTTAAGATCAACTGGCAAAGACACTGTCTAAAGAAATATTACACAAAAATGAAAAGGTGATGGAACACAGATTTCTATATAGTAATTACTTTACAGTAATGATTAGGTTATGCCTTTTGTTTTATTTTGATAAAAGCATATGCTTAAGATGAGAAATTTAAGTAGGTCTCCCTAATAAACATCTCACTTGTACACCAGAAGTTTCACAGTGGTGTTAAGTGTTTGTAAGATGAGACATTGACCAGCCATTTCCAAAGAAGAGAAATTTCAGTAATATATGTGTATTCCTAACACATACAAGGAGTTCCATATATTCTTTTACCTGTGGAGATTCCAGTATTTACAATAGCCAATACACAACATGTTTCTAGTATAATAAATTTCAAATACAAAACCGAGCATCAAAGGGGAGGGGTGTGTGTTTTAAACCCATCAGTTAATAATAATAGCCCAGCCCAAAACCAGTAATGCAAATAGAAAGACTTCCTCAGACTTCACAGATGTTGTATAAATCTTTAAGCCAACACTAAAACCAAAGACCCAATAATTAAAGCGCAGTCACCTCATAGCTTCTGTAATCCACTTCCACATCATCTCCATAGACATTTAGTTCCATGTTTTTATGACTGAACACAGTAGCTGGTTTGGGATTTCTGGGATTACATGCCATATCATCTGCTAGCATGAGGACAATGTGACTATGGAAAATAAGACAAAAACATTTCAGCCATTCTACTTTCATGTAACAGTCAAATGGAAATTACAACACCACTGTCCCATGATCACAACAATAGCTTATAACATTAAGAAGAATCCTGGAATTGTAAGTGAAACTTTGCATAGTTATACCCTATTTCCTTATGTACTTCCTCACTATTATAAAGATACCACACATGGAAATGCAGCCAGCTGTTATTTATTTACAGGATTAAGTGAGGCCAAAGATGAGCACAAGAGTAGCTGACATTAGTAACTTCACAATACAGACCTGCCTGGACCTAGGTTGGCAGAACTCTATAAAAAAATCTGGAGATTTTTATGGGGCACTAAATAATTTCATGCAGCTCCATGGAACAAATCCCAGCCTGACTGCACCCTCTCAGACAGATCAATTAAAAACATTGTGACAATTTTTAATTAAATTTGAGGAGCTCCTGAACATTTCTCAAGCCATTATACTACATCTGATACACTACTGTATGATTATCTGTGTTCGTGGAATTTTTCTGAAGAACACAAGTGGGCTGACACCAGACATTTTGTCTTCTTCATAGTACCAAGAAAAAAAAACAACCCAGCATTTCACAGTACCAAGGGGGAAAAAAAAAAAAACCCCAAACAAACCACAACACAGGACATTATAAAGCTCCTCCAAATTGCATGCAGCCAAAGATCTATTTCACCTGGCAGAGTCCAATCTGGGTCAAAATATGAAATAACCAGTAGTCACTGGAGACTGTTAGCACAAGGAAGAATGTGCCAGAGATGTCTGGAACAAGGTGAAGTCAGTCCTTTCCTTGGATAACCCTGTCTTGGATATAGTTTCTCCTGGCCTGTGATCTTCGTGTTCTCCCTAACAATGCTTCCAAAAGGAAAGCTCTGTATCCTGCAAAGAATGCTGATAATTCAGACTCTCAGACACACAGTTGTAAATTAAACTGTGTCCTGCTATTTAAACACCATTCCTGTGCTTGTCATCGTACACCCATATGTCTGCATGAACACTTTAAGAGTAAAATTATTCTTTATTAAGTACTGATACACTCCACCCACACCCCCCCCAAAAAAAAAAAAAAAAGAGAGAGAAAAATGCTCTCCAAAATAACATAAGCATAAATCCTCAAAAAGAATCAAAGTAAATTACTTCAGTGTGAATAAAATGCTGGCATAAATATGAAGCTGCAATGACAGAAGCCAGAGGATGACAACTACCAAAGAGAAATAAAGATTTTTTTTTTTCTCTCCACACACGCACAGCACTACAAAACTATTTTTATAACAGAGTATCATTAAAAGGGAATTAGTTGGAAGCAAGTGTTGATACATGCCTTGCAGATTTACTGAGATAGTCATGTGTACACCCATTTTTTGTACTACACTCAGAAGAGAAAATTCCAGACTAAGCCATCACTAGGCCTACACTTTAGCACTGTATTTTTGCCAGGAATGTGTCTATTAAAAAAAAAAAAAAAAAAAAAAAACCAATAATCACACATCACTCAGTAAAAGGTTCTGCACAGTAGTAATACAGACAGGGGAGCACAAACATGCAAAGTTTGTACCCTGTATGGCATTCTTAAAAGTGTATGAAATATCCCACGGTTAAACATGAACCACTGTGTACAAGTGGTTCATACATGCAGCAAAACAATCTAGGTGTTAACTTGCAGCTTATCTGTTAAACCAAAGTAATCTAACTAAGTTATTATTTTAATGCTATTTTCACTATGTAAAACTTATACTGCATAATGATTCCAGGAATTAAAAAGAATTTCTGGATTCATTCTGGCTTTGTTTTATTTTAGCAAAACTTTTCTGTTATGAATTGGGGCATTGTGTCCACATGTCAACAAACCAGAGCAACTTACAGTTGTAAAACCACAAATCATTTTCCTAATGAGTTCTGTTGGATGACAAATCTATTTAAACCACCAAACTGACACAGTTCCATTGAAAATGAGGCTATGCACAAACCCCTCCAAAAAAACCCCAACCCCAAGAATCACGATATACCTTTAAGATGTGATTTGGGTGGTGTTTTTTTTTTTTTTAGTCTTATCAATATTCTGAATGAAGTTTTGCAGTGAAGAAAGAAAAACAGGTAGAGGAAGAAGTTTGTCTAAGGGAGAAACCCACTCAAATGTATGTAAAAATTGCTACAACTGGGAAAACATAGGCACGCTCTCTCTCTTTAGGTCTTCTCCAATGTCTTATTCTTGACCTTAGTCTAAAGCATTGCTGGCTTTTTAAGATTAATTTCCATATCCTTGGGTATGAACAAGAAACGGATCAGGCTACTGAACAACAGAAATCTCCAGCCATGCTGTAGTAGATTTTGCACTATTTCTAAAACTGCCACCTATTTTAACCTTAATGGTGAACATGGATGGATGAAGAGAAGACGAAAGTTCTCAGGCAAGGGTAGAGCCAGTGGAAGAATTCCTAAGGTAGAGCCTAGGGCGCCTATATTCAAAAACTATACAAGGAAGATGACAGATGCTTCTCCATGAGATGTGCAAAAAAAAAAAAAGCAAGCCACGTTTCTATGGCTTTCAGTCCACAGTGCTTAGGCAGTACATTCCTTGGATTTATAGCCCCCAAATGCTTCCAAAAATTAGGTTTCAAAATCCCCTCTTTCAAAAACCAAGAAGTCACTCTTTTTAAAAATAAATACAGGAAACAGGATGGTACTGCCACTGCATTCACAGCTGAGTGGAAACTAAGTGGGAACTCCAGATACTACACTTTTGGACTTAGACAAAAAAAATGCCGTACAAATTTAATTCAGCAGAATATGCATTTTGCAACGATGGAGCGGGCCATACCTCTTTAGGCAGACATGCTGCAGAAACTACCAGTCCTCTAAACAAACACTAAAAAGCAGGACCACCAGGATTTCCACAGGAGCCTATGGATACATAGATCCTATTATTCACTGGATGTTGATGCCTAAAATTCACTTCCACAGTTCTGGTACAAGTAAACTGCATTCCAAAACACCTGGATGGAACTATCCTAGAACTTCCAGGAGGAACACAACTGAAGGACATTTCAGAACAGTTTGTTCACCTTCCTAATCCTGTTGTCAAAGAAGGGATACTATTTTAACCATTGTGCTGTAGCTAGAGAAGCACAATTTGATGGACAAAGCTTCTGGTTGCTCTAAATACATGATGCAAAATGGATTTTTCAAGGCTACTTTCAATAGTTTCAAGCTGCTTTGTTCAAGGCCTTTAGTTTAGAGACTCTCAGCGTAGTTGCAGATGTGGAAGTCTTCCATTTTAGTACAGTTAGGGTTGCTAACATCTCCACTCTGAAAGGAAATTAAAGTACAGCAAAAGCCCTATCTCAGACTAGTATTGTCATTGCTGAATGCATTTATCAATTTTCATGTTATGCTTTCACCAATTTACTAAGTAGTACATTTTAGTGCCCAGATAGCGCCTCATGTTTTTAATCTAATTAGCCTATTCCAACTGGAAGTTTTATTATATAACTTGCTGCTTTTCCTTTTGAACAATATTGCTGCATATTTCAATACGCTGATGTGATCACATCCTTCCTTTTTGCTTTTATCCAGTTAAACTGAGAAGGGAAATGTATTTTTGTACTGCTTCAGACAACAACAGAACTTTAATAGCACATTTGCAAGGAATCATATTCACCAAGATGCCCTCACCTATCAGGAATG